TACAGGGTATTATGCTTAGTGAAATAAGCCAGGCAGAGAAAGCCAAATGCCAGATGATTTCCCTCATTTGTGGAGTATAACAATGAAGCAAAACTGAAGGAACAAAATGGCAGCAGACTCAGAGACTCCAAGAATGAACTAGTCGTTACCAAAGGGGAGGGGTGTGGAGGGCGGGTGGGGAGGGAGGGAGAAGGGTTTGAGGGATATTATGTTTAGTACACATGGTGTGGGGGATCATGGGGAGAACAGTATAGCACAGAGAAGCCACATAGTTGATCTGTGTCATCTTGATGCACTGATGGACAGTGACTGCATTGGGGCATGGGTGGCGACTTGATAATATGGGTAAATGTAGTAACCACATTTTTTTTTCATGTGAAACCTTCATAAGAGTGTATATCAATCATACCTTAATAAAAAATTAAAAAATATACATATATATTTGCTTGATAGTGTCAATTAAATTGTTTTCCCTCTTATTTTTAAATTATAGAAGAAATATAACCTATTAAAATTTGAAAGGTACACATCTTATAACCCAATTATTCCACTTCTAAAGTGCTTTACAAAAACATTCACACATGGACACAAGGCTTGTGCAAAGATATTCATAGTAGCATAGTTTATAAGAGTGGAACATTGGAAACTCCCTAATCATCCATCAATAGGAAAAGGAATACATTGTGGCCTATCCACATCATATGGTGCAATAAAGCAGCTAAACTCAACAAGGTGGATCTGTATATGTTGACATGAAAAAAATTCCCCATGGTATGCTGTTACCTTAAAGGAGCAATCTGCAGAATCATACATATAATATAAAATTTTCCAATAGTGCATTCCTTGATTCATGTATCAAAATGGCAGTACTTACCACCTCTTAACTGCTCTTGGGGGTGGACAGCAAGGTGGGAGACCAAGAGAAGACAAAATGCAAGGCAAGGGGCTTGTTAAGCTTTTGTTATACAGAAAGGCCTTACATAAACAAATGCATTCATATATCATGTAACTTAGATTTTTAAAAATATAAAATTGTTTGTTTCTAACCATATAATAAAGTAAAAAGTGATACTCTCTTCTTCTTTGTGATTTATTTATCTCTTCCCCTATTGGTGGACATTTTTGTTTTTCTTTTTTAAATTTGCTTTTGCAAACAGTGTCACAAGGAAAATTCTTGTTTGTTTTTACTTTACCCATTTATGTTATCATTTCTGTTGTATAGATTCTAAGAACTGTGGTCATGGGATATAACACTTAAAAATTTGATAGATGCTGCTAAATTGCCCTCCAGAAAGAGTATACTGATTATTCATAAAACCCTAGTAACACCCCAGTTTACTTTATCAAGGTTGCAACAACAGCTGCTCCCAGATATACTGACTTGACCTTAAGTCCAGCCTATAGCTGATTTAATTCCCTCTCCTTGTCTGTTAACCATTGGCGGAAATTGCAGTGTTGACCACCAGACAAATGGTGGAGAAGACTGACACAGGTTGGCAGGGGAAGGCTGGGGCTGGTATACCATGAAACTGAGACTAACTAATGACCCAGAAGCCATACTGACCCACAGATATGTTTTCTTTTGCCCATACAGTATTAGGCTACACAGTGTTTAAACAAACCAGTGCCAAGTGTTAAGGGATCAGGGCTTAATCCCCAGTTGTGATGTTTCCTTTCATATGGTTCTCTATGTGGAGAATCATCAATCCACAGAACATTCCTGATCTTTCTTTACTCCCACACTCATCACTGCCCTGGAAAGTTGAGTGTCTTCTTCTTATAATAATGCTCTTTAAAATGATGTTGTAAAAAGAACTTCAAGATAATAAGATACAAAATTAACTGTAAACTAGGGAAAAGTTAGGTGATAAGGTATTAAAAGAGCAATACTTTTATTTTGGAAAAGTTGATTTGTAGCCCTTCTCTATTTAATAAAGAAGTACAGGTTTGGTTTATTGCTAAAGTGCCTCTGAGTCCAAGATAATAAAAACATAACATATAAAAGTGCTTTGTGTTTCATCATTTATAACTGAGAACGATAAGAGAAAAAAGTTCTCAGATCATTAAACTATAATTCTTTAAGTGGCAAGGAGACACTTCTTACTGTAATGCAGGGGTTGGTAAACTTTGGCCAGCCTGCCACCTGTTTTTGTGGATAAAATTTTATTGGAACAGTCACACCCAGTCATTTATTGTCTATGGCTGCTTTCACACTATGATAGCATTGAGTAGTCACAAAGGCCTGAAAAGTCTCAAATATTTACTATTTGATCCTTTGCAGAAAATGTTTGCTTTAATTAAGACCATTATTCTAATCCTGACCCTTCTGGGTGATATTCTGCCTGAGCATTAACTGTGAAAGCCCATGTTAGCTCCTGCAGCTTAACTCAAATTCCTAGCGTACAAAATGAAAGGCTAAGGAAAGGGCAGTACATGCCACAGTCTAATAATTTTCATGGAGATTTTCTCCGTAAGGCACTTTAGAGGATGAAAATGAGTTGACAGAACTTTAATAATACTGCCTCATGTAAAATTCTGCCTGAGAAACCCCAACTGAAATATCTCAAATTAGAAGCTGGCATACATAAAAATGTCTGAAGACATGAAACATTAAAAAAAAAAAAGGTATATTTTAGCATGTAGAAAGTTGAATATACACTACTGAGTAAACCAGGGCATCAAATTCCCTGGCCTGGTTAGGGAGTGCTGCAAAGATATGGGCTTCGCCTTCAAAGGATGCCGGAGTGGGGTCAGTTGCCTATGTTTTGTGTCCTGTAGGGAAGATCCATACCATGCCAGTGGTGCTGCAGGAGTCAAGATAAAGCTCCAGCTTGGTTCCCGAGATCCTTAGAAACCATTCTGTGAGGAGACACTCTTTATGGGTCATTTCTAACTAGGCCTGGATCATTAATATATCCTATATATCCAAGGATGACAATGGAGTGACACTCAGTGGGACTGCAGTGAGAACTACAGGGTTTGCAACCATAAAAGGTGGGCTAGAATCTCCCAGACCACTGAGCTTAATGTACAATGATGGTGACCATCTACATCTTGAATGGGCTGAATGTTTAAGATCATTTTATAGGGCATTTCACACATATGCAAAGGTAAGTTGAATAACTAGACGTTGAAACTATAAACTTCTTTAGTCACAAGTGTAGCTCCACCTTCTGGATTATAAGACAAATTTCCCTTGGGTAGGTTCTAGCATAGGGGGAGAAATTTTCAATGCATGTCTCAAACTTTGCTTTGGTCTCTCCTGTAAGAAAGACCTAGTTCCTTTGCCATAAAAAGTCACAGATATTTTTTCCAATTAAAAAAAACTGTTATCAAGAATAGGGTTGTTTCTTTTAACTCAAACTTTGAAAATAAGTATGAAAAAAGATTACTTAATATGTGCTGATGAATAGAATAAAGGCGGTGAAAATGCTTACAGTGACTCATGATTAGATAACACCCAACTTGGAAAGAAGAGCAAAAAAGTACTTTTCACTGGAGAAAATGTAATGAGATGTTGCCATCAACTTAGGGCAGCATACTGGTATTTTACAAACATAAAATTACAGCTTTACAAAAATCCGAGTTAGCACTTACATTTGAATACCCTAATTTTACACACTTAAAGTCCTTAATTTAAAAAAAACCAGCAACAACTCAATTGCAAGTCAACAAATAAGACAAAATTCCTTGCCAAAAATAATCATTAAAGGCTAATAGTTACAGAATGTATTTTATGGTGACTTTTTAAAATGAAATTTGGGGCTAAAATCATAAAACAAACAGCAAAAAATAGAAGCTATTATGTTGTAATGATGAACACTGGGCTTAGATTGCTATTTTAATGGTATTTATTCTGTACAATTTATCTATGTGGTCTGACATTCATTTCTCTTCCTCATTCCTCCTAATTAGAATTTCTTAGAGTAAGCACAATGCTGTTTAACTATTCAATGATCATTCAGAAGCAAAAGTACAGTACAGGAAGATAATCTTTATTTTAAATAAAAACAGAGCAGATAGCAAATTCACGAGGTATTACTGAATATCATTCTTTTAAAATCAGGTTTCAATTATAATAATCAAAAGCAAGCCTTAATTACACAGATATTTTGGTCACTATTATAATCCTCAAGGGCATAGAAGCCAGCAGTGTAGAGTAAAATAAAGGTAATGACTATGAGAATTTTTGACATGCCAAAAATGTAGATCACTGTATTAAGCTCTCTCCTTCTATTTTCTTAACATTCTTCTTAAACACTGAACAATTATTGTCACTCAGCAAATATCAAACATGCACACAGTATTCCTACAAGAACCCTATCTTAATTTTGTCAATACTAATACTAAGCTGCTCTTTCCCTCCAAAATTCAATGAATCATGGTTCCACTCCCTGTATGTATTAGTGTTAGAGGTAATGTGCAAAACTGATTGTGTTTTCAAGGTTAAAGAGCAGATTGACTTCGCATTTGGTGGCCAGCTGTGTACCCTAATTTGCCATCTTTTATTTTCTTAATAAATTTAACTACACATCATAGGCCCTGAGATATTCAATAACCTGCTTATGATTGTATACTTTTCATTTATACTTTATTCCACTCAATTAGAACCCCACATAATAAGTATTTAAAATTATTTACAGGTGGTTATAACTGAAGCAATGAGAAAATTTACTACTCGTATAGTTAAGACTGCTAATAAGGCCTTTAACTACGAGCTGCACATTTTATGCATTTTTTTACTTGCTAGGAGCAATTTTTAAAATTAGATCTATAATTCTCTGTCAGCAGTAAGTGCTTTTCATTTGGCTTACTTCTACACAGATAACCAGATTCATTTTCTCTCTCTCCTCTCGAAAACAACTTTTTTCCTTCCCAAAACATAAGTGTTAGTTGTCCTTCTGAACAGGTGCCAATAGAAACTTAGAAGTCGAACAACATATTGATGACTATAATGCCTAGCAGAGAAATATGTTCATAACAGGAATTCATTAAATATGTGTTCTACATGGAATGAGTGAATTGTAAGGCAGCTGTTGGAGTCATATACTTCTCATCATGCATTGTAATTCATTTCGTTTAACTAGGGAATTCAGATTACCAGATTTAATTCATCCTCAAATGTAAATCCAAGAATTTGAAATTCAAAAAATTGTTTTAACAGTTCTCAGAGAAAGGCAACAAGTTAATAGTAATTGCTTTTGAAATATTAGTTGATGGAGAAAAAAAGAACAGAATTACCTTCCACTAAATCACATGTACAGCTAAGTGAGGATAAGAAATGAAGAACTAAGAACTGTTAGCTAAATATTATTTTCTTCACATTTATCCTTGCAGCTTTTTTGTTTGTTTGTTTGGTTCATGTATTTATCCCTGTTAACTTCTCTAGCTGAAATGTTATTATCTGAATGGATTTCGCCATCTCCTTAGCTACATAATGTTAGTGAAAAGCCGGTGTAAATAAAAGGTTGTATTTTGATGTCACGCCGTAGTTCCGTATTTGTTTTTGCCTACGTTCAATTTTTCTATTTAAATGATGTTGGATGGAGTATGAGATAATCTGCCAGCTTACTGTGAGATTGCTTGCTTATGTTTGGTTTTTGTTGACAGCTTTGAAGCACATTGCATACTTGTCATCTAGCACATTAATAAGTAACTATTACTCTTTTAGAAAGGATACACTGATAAATCTTAAGTTAATGGCTTTGGCCAGACATTTTTAGTCTGTTGTCACAGGACAATAGCAATGGCAAAAACATTGACGATACAGTTCATGGTTCGGTTCTCCCATCTTACAGTACAGGTCCCTGAAAACACACAAAAAAAGGACTTTGAAATACCAGTGAAAAACTGAAATTACCAGGGAATATATACACATTGTTCATAGTTTTTAACATCTTATTTCCTGCAATCTGCTTAATCTCCACTTCTCCTATTTGAATGAGGACATACTTGTTACTAGCATTCTGTTGATAGTCTTTTCAGAATTTAATTAGAAATAAATAAGTACTTGCTAGAACCTCGATTTTGCCTGAATCAGCTTGAGGTCTCTTACCATCAGATGTGGTATCCCAAAAACAGGAGCTGGCTGTGTGAAAGCCATACGCACTTCTCTGGACCACTGCACAGGTCACTGAAAATAAAGTTGCAGAGTGAGAAGGCTTACAAAGGACAAGAGAGGTAAGGTCTAAGTGTTTGAGCTCAGAGCTCTAAAAGCTGTAAAAATAACAGCACTGTAGTTATAAGCATCCAGCAAATAGATTGAAAAGAATAAGCTATCTTGATTATCTACCACCATGACTTTGACCCCACTGGATCCAGTCTGTTTGCTCCCCACTGGTGATTGTACTGCAAGAAAAATTAGGGCCAAATTATATACTTTGTCCCATGGGCATAATTCAGACACAGAAATGAAGTGGTCACACTTTATAGTTTTTGCATGGCACTTTACAGTGTTACAGGTATGGAAGGAGGCCTAGGGCTACTGCAGGAAGACAGTGGGGCTGAATGGGTTGTAGTGGGAAGAGAAAACTGATGCAAATGTCAAAGATGATGCTACCAAGAACATGTGGATGGTTGGTGGGAGCTCAAACTGCTTTTGAGTAGTGAAAGAGCTCCTTCTTTCAGATATTATTATGTATTTGGATAAGTAAGTCAGAAGTCCTTCATACCCTATTAGAATCCAACTTGAGTGTCTATCATTCATTTACATTCTATAAATTCAGAGAAAACCACAAGGACTAAGGTAAGTAAGCTAGTGAGGAAGGACACTGATACTTACCAATATATTTATAAGCTTTCCCCAGTTTAACCAAATGTGTTAAGGATTGTTCCACTATGCTTGCAGTCCACTGGTTGATATTGTTGTGGTTATAATCTTCACCACCCAGGACCCCATCTATACACTAAAAGGACAGAGGACAAAGAAATTACACACAATGTGCAGCAAAAATGTATTCAAAACATAAAAAAAATTTATGACCCAATGAAGCATCTTAGAAAATATGCATCTGGTCAATATTTATTATGCACTCTCTCTCATTGTTTTAGAATTTTCAAAGTGTTTCTGCATGTGTTTTCTCCCCCAATGAGATACTGTGGGCCATATAAAGATAACGATGACATGACCTCTGTTATGAAGAATTTAATCTAGCAGAGAAGCTAATAAAAGAACTCTCTAACACAAGGAAGACTAATCCAGGGTGCTGAGTGAGGCCATAAAAGGATTATAGAGGGGGTGGAGACTAAAAACGGTGATATCAGTTGGTTAAATGAATGGCTTTAAAATAGCCAGGATTTGAACTAGGTTTCAGATGAGGGCTCAAGGGTGAGTGCAATTAAAAAATAAAATTATCATTATAATAACTATATTCTCATTCATATAATGTGATTGCTTAGCTATAAAAACTAGCACACCCACCACTAAAAGTAAACCAACAAACCCTACTTCTCAGGTGCTCTAGAAAAACAAAGTCAAATGATTTTCATATCACTTACTTGTATCCATTTCTGATATCTGACTGAGAGCCCTGGCTTAGCATCACAATATTAGGTTTTAAGGTTTCTTCTGCCACCTACTTGCTGTGTGAACTTCTGCGAGTGACTTAACCTCTTGAAGCCCCTATTTTCCTAATCCTTAAAGTAGGGATTAACAGTCTCATTTTATCAGGTTGTTGTGTGGATGGGGTAAGATCATGAATACCAAATGCTCACAGTGACTGCTGCACATAAATAATGTTAGCTATCATCATCATCATCATCATTACTGCTATTTTATTTTTTACAGTTTTATTGAGATATAATTGACATACAACATTGTGTAAGTTTAAGGTGCACAACATGCTGATTTGATATACTTATATTGTGAAACAATCACCACAGTAAGTTAGTTAACATATCCATCTCCTCATATAGTTACCATTTTTTGCATGTGGTGAGAACACTTTTAAGATCTACTCTCACACTGGAAAACACGGTTATCACTCTTGCCCTTCCCATTACCTCCAGCCCCTTTCCACCTCCCAATGCCCTCATTTGTGCTTCTGCATTGCCAAGACATCAAAAACATTTCCATTCTATTTTAAAAATTGAATATTCCTGGCTACATCGTTCTAATATGTGATTGTGAACTAATGAAATATGGCAGGATTTTCAGGTGCCTGCCTAGTCCTCTCAAATCTCAAGTGGATCCCAGCTGTACAAGGCCAGCCCTGGGGAAGTTCTGGGTGAGCTCCTGCCCCCAGAACATTTGGGCCAGTGAGGAACTGTCTCAGGATGGACTGACGCAGTGCTCACTGCCCAGACCAAAGGAAGGTAGGGCCTGCCAGAACAGGTCTCAACAGCCGTACCCATAACACAAGCTTGCCTTCTGGGCCAGCACATTTCTTTGCCTAAGATTTGGAACGGTTAAGAAGGACTCAGGATTACTAACCATGTTCATAAATACCTCACTCACAGTGTAGTCTGTGTATGATACCACTAGAATAACTACAGTTCCTCTGCTAGAATTGATTTCCAAAGAGAACTTCTTGTCTATTTGCCTAACAGCAGGACCAGATTTCACACTGCAAATAATTTTGCAAAGATCGTGATTCAGCATCATATTAGAGTCTTAAAGATGTTAAGTGAATATTTTTCCAATTCCAATTGGATTAAAGGATCATATTTCTACATATACAAAAACATATATGTACATGTATACCCTATGAACATTCTGATGAACACCCTAGATTGAGAATCGTTTTATGATAAAGCTCAGGAAATAGCAGGGGGTAGATATGAAGCATTAACATTTAGAATAATATTTGGTCTACTGGATTAAAATTTTTTTTATTCAAAGGGGCATCAGTTTTAGAAAACCACAAACCAGTGCGGCAGACTACTACTTAAAGGTCACTTTCAAAGTAAGCCCCAGGATGCCTGCTAACATACAACAAAACACAGAGGCACTTCTATAAAGAGTGAGCGAATAAATATTAAAAATATTGTTCAAATACTAAGGCTTCTAACTTTGTACTGAAAGTCAAAACACAGCTCTTTAAAATTTCCATCAACGCAGCAAGCTTCAAGATGAACAACATTTGTAACTCACCTCCTTAACGATATTGTGGGCTTCATCAGTGTTGAAGCCAACCTATAAGGGAAAAACAAAAGACAGAGCTGCTTTCAACAAAGACTTCCTTTTATTTGTGGCTGTGATGCTGCACAGAATACCCCATGTTGGCCTAGGCAGGTGTTAGCAACAGGAGACCATAGGGAGAAGGGGCATCATGTCTACAGAGGTCTCTGCAACATTTTTTAACAAGTGCTTTCCTGGTGATTCTGATGAACACCCTAGATTGAGAATCATTGTATGATAAAGCTCCGGAAATAGCAGGAGGTAGATATGAAGATATGTGGGCTATCAGGATATAGGAAATGGCTACAGTGAGGATGAGGTAGTCCACGAGAAGAGAATGATTAACAGATTATATTCAAATTATTAAAAATTTATGCTTGGCAAAACAATGTGGCTTTCCCAAATAAAAGATTATAAAAATACTTGATCTTTCTAAATTAATGTCACTTTAATACTATATGATAGGCCTGGCAACTTAATCTTTCCTGTGGAGTGGCTTGATAGCATACTGAGTTAAAAGCAACTATTAGTGACATCCAAGTGTCCTCGAGTAGACACCCAGGCTATGTGATAAGATTGCAATCTAAATTAAAACACTTCAAGTAATTCATGATTTGTTTCCATGGAGATGTATTTAGATGCTTTGTGACATCAGTGTTTTTGTAAATCCTACAACTTAAGTCCAAAAAACAAGTAAGTATTGTCTTCAGTGTAGATTTGAAATATTTTCAACTCATTTAATCACACCAAAGAATTCAACAAAGGAAATAAAAATGCTGTAAATAATTAGGAATAATATTATGAGAACAGGTCTCATGTTTTGACCCTATTAGAATAATCATTTTACCTTAAAATAAGGTCTTTGCCTATTTTCAAAAGTGCTCTACAAATTAAATGATGTCCATTTCACTTCAATTTGGAAGGTCACCAAATAATCAGACCATACTGGGTGGCCATGGTAATGCACGTAACTTTATTTTAAAATACAGGTATTTAGTAAGTACTACAGTACAGGATGCTCTTAGGAGTCAGGGGACTAGGAGAAATTGCTTGTGCCTCGATTTCTAAAATAATACCGTTAATCTGTAAGTGTGTTTGCTACCTGCATTACAGAGCTAATGCATTTAAATGTGGTTTCAGCTTCCGCAGAAGTCCACATCCTAAAGCTGGATGGACCAGAAGCCCCTTCTTGGGGTCTAACAATGCACCATTTTATGCTGTACCTCCTCCACGTGCTTCCTCTTCCCTTACTGCACCATGCACCTGTGGCTACCAATGGACACAAAATGTCTTAGTCTATTCTGCCTTTGCTGGCCTGTCACAGGTCGTGCTGGGATCTAAGAGGCCTCATCCTCCTCGTCGTTAAAGTGAAGCCAGAGCTGTAGCTGGGTAGTCAGAGGCCTGGGTTCAAATGGGCATCTGTCATTCCTGGCGGTTTTAACTTGGGGCAAGTCACTTGGCCGCCATAAAAGTCAGAGTCCCCATCAGTCACAGGAAGACAACTGCACCTTGGGGTTCAACTCAGATTTCAGGAAGGCTGTGTCAGGAAGCAAGAGCTCGTAATCCATCATGCACCTCCTTCCAGCCTAGCCAAGAGAGAGTGGCCCGAGAGCTGGAGCGGCTCTGCCACCAGAGCCTCACTCGCGGGGCTGCAGCACCTGCTTTGGGGACGCCAATGGGCGGAGGGAGCCGCCGGGAAGACCGGTTTCTAAGGCCCGCCCTGCAGATGGGCGGTGCCCGCCATCCCACCCCCACCCCACTCACCCCGAGTCAGCCCTTCCACCCTGCGGCCCAGATCCCGCCGCCGATCCCCAGCGGTCCCGGCCACCCCTGCCATCCCGACTCTCAGCCCACCCTCAGGGCTTCGGGGCGCGGGCACCGACGGGGCGGATCCTCGTCCCCGAAGGGGGGACCGGAGCTCGGAGGCCGCCGCACCCCAACTCGCGGGACCGCCCGGCGCCGGGAGACCACCCAGCCGGGACCCGGTGCCGAGGCGGCTGGGGGCGGGGGTCGCCGGCAGGCGGCCAAGGGGCGGTACCTCGTCGCAGTGGCGGTGGTACTCCTCCATGGTGGCGCCGACTCGCCGGGGGGCGGAGCAACAGGCAGAGCTCCGCGGCCGCGCACTGGCCTCCGGGGTGGCCCCACCCCTAAGTGTATCAGGGCGCACCGCAGGCGTCTCCCTGCTGCCTCCTACATTTCTGGAAACAGGGTATTGGTATTAAGTAGCTGGCAGTTGTGCCAGTGTGAATCAGATGGAGTGACCAAGTGTGCGTCAGCCTAGACTCCGCGGTATTGGTTGAATGCTCCTGGCTGTTGTTATTTGCGCATATTCGTTCATAATCATCCAGCAGATAAATGTAGTTAGTGCAATCTGTAGTAAGTTTGCCCACTTACTAGCTATGTTCCATGGGAAAATTAACCTCCCATAGCCTCAGTTTTCTCAAATGAGAACTTAAACTTATATGTATTTCACGGTTGGTTGTAAGGATCAAATGAAATGCTGTCTACATAACTCTTAAAGTAGATGCTGCTATAACCCTCCTCCTTGATGACTGTGTGAAAAGAAATAATTGATTTATTAGAGAGAAGGTACAAATATCCTAAACTAAACGTTAAGTCTTAGCAGAACAATGGTTACACTTATTTAAAAATTGCTAAATTCCAGATGATCCTAAGGATTTCCTCATGTAAATCCCTAACAACCCAGTAGGTTGGGTCCTATTACCATCATCCCATTTTTCAAGGTGAAACTGAGGTACAGCAAGTTTAAAGAACTGCCCAAGGTCATATATCCAGTAAGCTGTAGAAGGACTTAAATTCAAATAGTCTGATAGCATCACCCAGTCCTTAACCACTGTATTAGTTTCTGGTTGCTGCTATAACAAATGACCATAAATTTAGTGGCTTAAAGCAGCACAAATTTAGTGTTTTATCATACTAGGGATCAGAAATCTAAAATGGGTCTGCAGGACTATGTTCTTTCTGGAGGCTCTAGGAAAGAATCCATTTCCTTTCCTTTTCCAGCTTCCAGAAGCTGCCTGCATTTCATGGCTCATGACCCCTTCCTCCCTCTTCAAAGCCATTAGGTTAACATCTTTTCTCCTCTTTGGCCTCTACTTCCATCCTCACATCTCCTTCTGTCTCCCTTTCAAGATCCTTAGCTTAATCATATCTGCAAAGTGCCTTTTGCCACATAAGGTAACAGATTCACAAGTTCCAGGGATTTAGATGTGGACATCTTTTGGGGGGCCCATTACTCAGCTTATCACAGCCATGCCTCTGTTTTGTGCTCCCAAATCAAAATTGGAAGGTTCATTAGTCCTCTAGTTCAACTCTTACTTTACAAGTAAAATGAGAGCTCAGAGAGGGGAAGTAAGTTGTACAAGGGCACATAGGTATTAACTGGACCCCTGGGCTTCTGAATCACAGGCCACTCCATTCTCTGCTCTCATTTTATCAGCTGTTGAACCAAATTGGCCTGCTTACTTGATAACATGCAGTATGTTACTGGTTCTCCTAAATTGTGGGTCATGTCAAGATTACTGCAGAAAAGATGCATTTGTGTTTCATAGAGGAAGACTATTTCTTCTCTTTCAGGATGTTTTTTATACTAAAGCTATCCTGTGAGCAATTCCAATATTATATGAGGAGGCTTAGTGGTGTCCTTGGGACCACCAATCTTACTTTCCTAAAGAATTCTGCGTCGGTGAGTCAAACACAGGAGTAACATCATCTTATAACTGCGAGGGCCACTCTATCACATCTCAGGTTTATGCTGGGTGGTAACTCATGATAAGTATAAAGTGAAATGAAGAATTAGTGTTCCAGTTAGCATCTCTGCACAACTAATTGTCCCAGAATTTAGCAGTATATTTATTTTGTTTTACATTATGTTCATGGATTGTATTGGTCAGAAATTTGAACAGGGCACATTAGGGACAACGTGTCTCTGTTTCATGATGTCCGGAGTCTCAGCTGGGAAGACTCAGAGACTGGGGGTAAATGAATGGTGGGGGTTGGAACCATCCAAAGACTTGTTCACACACATGTCTGGCCCCTGGGCTGGAACTAATAAAATATTAGTGTTACCCAGGACAGGGAACAAAGGTTACAAACAGGTCAGAAATAAAAAAGGGTCGAGATACAGGAACGCAAAGGTTTCAACACAAAGGAGTAAGAGAAATTCTGCTGAGAGTAAAACTCGCTGCTCTGTTCTCTGTGTGCTGCCTCCTACATGTTCAGTTTCTGTCTCTCCTAGGAAAACTGCTATAAACAAACTAAAAACGGGACAGAGCCAGTTTCTACCAAGACCCGAGCCTCCCAAAGTAACCTTTCCTCCTTTAAATGCTAAAATCTCCGTCCAGGGAGGAGCCACAGGCTGATCAACATAACATGCGATGTAGGAAGAAGCATGACCAGCTAACACGCCTGTGCTGACATCACCGCGTCTCTAAAGCCCCTTCCTGAAAATCTCACATGACAAAAACCAATAAAAGGCAGCTTTGACCGCCCTCCCAAGAGACACTGCTTTGGGAACTATCCCCAATGCTCTCCTTACCTGTTTCAAGTGATAAAGCTGGACCTTGTTTCGTGTTCTTTGTTGGGCTAAAGCTCACCAAAAGGTGAACCCATTGTGTTTGTAACATTAGGACTGCCAACTGGAGGGCCAACACACGGCCTTATCAAGTGCTTGGCTTCACAACGTCAAGGCGTAGTCAGACGTCTTAGCGCAGTCAGACATCTTACACCAGCTCAAGGATCCAATCGCAAGGCAGACGCTACATTGCTTTTTAGTCTCACAAGCCTCACCGCCTCACTTCCAACAGACTCTAATCCCTGGAGCAGTCACCGCCCACTCAGGCTCAAGGGGAGGGGCCACAACCCGCCTTTAAATTGGCCGAAGTGTCAAATAATTTGGGGACCGTGCTTTGCAACCACCACAGCTTTATTAGTGTCCTAGTTGCACATAACAGAAGACCCAAGTAGGATGGGCTGAAATAATGACATTTGTTTTCTAGAATAACCAAAAATACAGAGGAAGAGATGTTCAGATTAGTTCAGTAGCTCAACAGTTTTTCAGGGCCTCGTGCTTTCCCTCTTTTCATTCTACTATTGGGATCAGCAACACTTAGTCTCCAGGTGACACGTGGCTGCAGCAGGACTGGTAGGCCAGGAAAAAAGGAATCTGATCCAATGAAAACACTGGGCACTGCTTTGGGCTGAAAATTGCCCTTAGGAAGGAAATCTTTCCTTTAAGTCCCCAGTCTTCTCCTCAGATCCCATTGGCCAAGACTGGGAGGAGTGATTCCTCCCTTGGCAAAATCTCTGGGAACACAAATGTTTGGTATTTTCATCTTTCATGGTGAAAAGTGAGTTCTGCTACAAAGGAAAAAAAGGATGTGAAATGATCGTTATTGTTTAGCACAGTCCTTCCGAACTATTTTCATGCCATGGCCTGAATATAAAAACTAGTAATATCGATCTGGAACATTGGAGTAAACTAGAGGGGCTTTGGTAGCATTTTTATGGGGTTTGGTTAAAACAACTATTTTCATTAAGTTATACAACTGTAAGGAAAAAATACAACAGAAAAGGTGTTAAAAACCGAATTTATAAAAATCCAAATAAAAGTTTTCAAATGTTTTAAGGAGACCTTTAATCTTACTTTCATGAACATACATTTTATATCAGGATTTATGCTTAAAAATAGCCATAGCAACTCTTGTTTGAGAGTTTTTAATAGTTATTTTTCCTCCAAATCTTAAGAGTCTATTGTTGTGAGGTGTTCTTCATAGAAGTAACTGACAAAATATTTAGACCCATTTACAAACCATTCAAATTATATTGAAGGGTTTCTTCAATGGTAGTCTACGTAAATAGGACCAACCCTTTTGCTGGCAATTAGGAAGGTTGAAGTATATATAATAGGCATGTGTGCAAAGAAACTGGAGCTTTAACAATGTGGGGAAGAATTATGGAATCTAGGACCTAGAAGAAGAAAAAAACCTAAAAGCATATTCAGGGCATTTGGGACAAATTTTCACTGGGGGTGGGGCTAGGGGTGGGGGTGGGAGAAGATACAAAGCCATTTGCTCTCCAGCTAAGGAGTAAAATAATCAGATTCCATGGTCTGCCAAGGAGGAGATCTCTGATAGCAATCATATCTTGGGTTAAGAATCCAAGGATGATATCCTAGTAAAAGGTGTAAAACAATAAAACTCGACCTTTCAGGGACTGAAGCTCAGTTTTAAATCACTTCAATCCATGAAACTGAATTAAGGTGATCTGGCATTTCCAGTGCCTCTAGCCACCTTCCAGTAGCAAATGTAAATTCTTTTTGGAAGAGGAAATGTCATCCTAGGCCTCAATTTAGGTATATAATTGTTCACACACATCATCAGGTGTACAATCAAATATAACTAGGCACATAAAGAGATAAAACAACATTATCATAAGTCAATGTACAATGGAAACAATCTGACCAGTGATCTAGATAGTGGAATTATCAGAAAGAGACTGGAATAACTATGCTTAATGTATTCAAGGAGACAACTGAGAATTTTGTCAAAAAAAAGAAGAAACTATAAAAAATATACAAATGGAATTTCTAGAAGTGGGAAGTACAATAACTGAAATTAAAAACTTAAAATGATGGGTTCAATAGTGGCATAGACAAACCTGAAGATTTACTTAATGAAATAAAAATAGGTCATGAGAAAACATTCAGAAGGGAGCATAAATGAATGTAAAATATGAAGAAGGAATAGAGACAAAGGAAATACCATGAGAATGTTTAACATACGTAATTGGAGTTCCAGAAGGAGATGAGAGGCATCTCCTGGGAGATGAGGGACTCCTCCAAACCTGTCATGGAGGCCTTCTAATTTTTAATGCCTTCTCTTAATTTTAGATTCATAGCTCTTACCCTTTTCCCTATTTCTGCTTTCTAAAGTTAAAATAAGATGCCAGGTGACCCTACTATCTTTTTTAATACTTCTTGTTACCATCTAGCCTAAGTGCTACAGCCACTTGACCCTCCATGCCTTGGCCTCCACCTGCATTTTATCTTGTGGCGATAATATGAGTAATCACAGGGTTACTTCATGCCATGAATTACTCATGCCCTGTGCTTCTTAGCAGGAAGATTATTCATGTGGTCC